GGAGTTGGTGTTGTACACCGATATTCCGGCAAAAATCCAAACCCTTTTTTTTCAGTGAACGAGGGTAAACATGAGACTGTTCCAAAGGACGCTAAGACGCTTTACGATAGACCAAACATTAAAACCTGTTTCGTCTGAAAGCTTACTTTTCATTGATACTCTGCAATCTCTTAGCACATATTGTATCGTAAAGTTTCTTAGTTTTGAAAACATACCCATCGCTTCTAAAATTGAAAGGAAAATAACCGGGATTATTTTTGCACGGAATTATACCTCAACAGGATATGAATAACATGATCGAAAGTCCCGCAAAACCTTACAATTTAATAAGAATAAATGTTATGTTAGCGAAAGTGAAATGTGGCAGTCAGCATTGGCAACTGAGATGCATTTTAGTTAGAATGTGTCAAAGTGCATCTGACACTTAAATGAGCACGTATAAACCATTTTCAATGTCCCACCAATTGAAACGTCTCAGCAGTTCCTTTACTTCAGTTTTATGATGCATTTATAAAGATATTCTTCGTAGGGTGAAATCTGACAGTCATGCTCTAAGTGGAAGAACCTATCATGCACGGTCATTTAAGTGAGGTTATTTGCGAATACGGATTTTAAATGCAGGTATTCCCGAACTTGATACAAATGGACATAAGGCATCCGTGAGTCCATAGCCTTGATATAAATCTCTTTCTGTTCCCTTCCACTCATGATGTATAGCCTATAATTTGGTTTCCCATAAAGCTTTTTTAGTACATCCATTTAATCAGGGATGGTCGTAATTCAGTTTTGCTTACCTGTTCGTAATCAATTCCCTCCTCTTGTAAATCTACTTGTAACAGCGCCTGGTCAGGAATTGGGTCGTGCCAGCAAGATCTTTTGCTCTCATCTGACACTGAAATAATCATTTCGAAATTGAATAATATTAAAGACAACAACCGGAAGATTATGGTCTATGTTAAATTCAAAATCATGCATCTAATCTGTCAATAATAGGTTAAATACTGTTTTTCTCAGGTTATACTTCTATTTTTTGATTCATTATTGAAAAGACGTAGAGTAGTTCCAGCAAGAGTGTGCAATTTAGGGTCTATTCAAGTAACCTTATTTCTGCATACATGTTTGCTGAGAACATGATAGCTCTTTTGGCCTCGTCTATGAGCACTTTATAATCTGTTAAAAAGCTATCAACTTTGAGGTTAGGAGGATCGAAAATCAGTAAAGTAAAGGATAGTTTACCGCCATGATTAAGTAAAGCCTCCCTGTAGTTTAGACTCAACTTATGAGCAGGGTCACCTCTTGATGTAGAGATTCTATTTGTGAAGTAGGATATATGCTTTTAGTCTATTATTTTCATTGAAAACTATCCTAAAATAAACTGTAGGTTGTATAAAGTTTCATTCGAGTTACGTTCCTTTGTCCGAAAACCGACGATTTGATACCATTTCAATTTTTAGTTCCCACGCTGGAAAAAAAAAACACATTGGATCTAGAGTCCAAACTCTTGAAAATATTGACAAGAAAAAATACTCTTGATTCAATCAGATTTTTCCTCAAATCAAAAGAAAATCCTCTCAAATTAGGAGGCTTGGTTCTTGATTTAAGCAAAAATCCGATTGAATCAAAAGTATTTTTTCTTGCCGATGTTTTTAAGAGTCTGGACTCTAGATCCAATGTGTTTTTTCTTGTGTAGGATGCTTTTAGTCAATTATTTTCATTGAAAACCACCCTATAAAAATTGTAGGTTGCATAAAGTTTCATTCGATTTACGTTTCCTCGTCCCAAAAACCGACGATTTAATACCATTTCAATTTTTAGTTCCCACTCTTAGAATGTTAACATCAGAGCATTGACCTACCATTGATGCACTCGTTCTCAATGTACTCGATGATGGGTACGGCGGAGGGAGAGAAGGCCTCTGGCCGGGTGCGGCGGTTCTCGGAGCTGAGGGAGCAGACCTTGGTCTGGGGGTTGTAGACGGCCGAGAGGCAGGGCCGGGCCCCTACGTCGTAGCCGTTGTACTGGTTGCTCCCCGAGAGGCAGAGCTGGGCGCAGTGCCACCGGTCGATCACGTTGTTCACCGAAGTGTACTGCATCCCCACCATCTCCACGCCCGCCATGTACTCGATCGGCCACGCTCGCGCTGAGCAGTACTTTGGCACTGTAAACACACCACCAGAAAATTGACTTGCAAGAAAATGAAGACATGAGACTTTGCCAGATACACATAGAGTAAAATATATTCGGAATGTACTGGAGCACTGAAAAAAAAAAAAAAAAAAAAAANAAAAAAAAAAAAAAAAAAAAAAAAAAAAAAAAAAAAAAAAAAAAAAAAAAAAACACATTGGATGTAGAGTCCAGACTCTTAAAAACATCGACAAGAAAAAATACTCATGATTCAATCAGATTTAAGCTTAAATCAAGAACCAAGCCTCTTAATTCGTGCGGATTTCCTTTTGATTTAAGCTTAAATCTGATTGAATCAAGAATCCTTTTTCATGTCAATATTTTCAAGAGTCTGGACTCTAGATCCAATGTGTTTTTTTTTTTCCAGTGAGCGCCGATGAAGTCAATTTTTGAGGCTGTTTTGTCCAGAACTCCTGAGACTAGAGTGTGACGACTGGAGATGCCGTATGCGTGGGGTCTCAACTCCACACTGAGAAAAAATTATGTTTAAAATTACCATACTTGGGTGTTCAATATGAACTCTTAATCGGTATTTGCCATAACCAATAATAGAGATATTTTTACCACTAAATGTTAATTTTACTACCGCACACTTGTAAAAGTACGATTGCTCCAGTAAAAATATCATTATTATTGGTTATGGTCAGTACTAATTAAAAGTACATATTGAACACCACTAATATGGTAATTATAACCATAATTTTTTCTGAGTGCAGGCTTCGCTCAGAAAATACAGGTATAAAATGTATTTAAGAAAAACCGGGAGTTTCGTAGATTTTTTAATTTGTTATGACCAGGGCCGGATTGGCACTCAGGGGCCGGGGATGCTGGTCATTAGGGGCCCCATATGTTGAAATCGAGGGGCCCCATGGCAGTCAAAATTCCAGCCTTAGGGCCTTAATAAATCCTAGTTTTAAACTCCAAAGACCACTAGAAGAAAACAATCGCCCAAGAGGGCCCGGGGTACGCTGCACCAACCGGACACTCCGGCTATTCCGGCAATGGTTATGACTAACGATGACATAATTTGCCGAAATTTACGCATAAAATTCATAAATTCCAAAAATCACTCGCAATTACCCACGATTCTTTCATGAATTGCCTTGTTCAAAAATGTCGTTTTGTTCACACTTCGTCTCACACTTTCGGCGAACAAGGGGCTGGGAATGGCCCGTTTATGGATTCACTTTATTGGAGCTCCAGTGCATTGCGACTCTATTGTATTCTAAAGCCAGATTCAAGACAATGAGTCAGTTTTGCTAGTCATACAATCGTGTTTCGATGGCTTAAGCTTATGCAGATTAGCAAAAAAAATGGGGTATATCCAACGGCCAAGTTTCTACGACAGATATGAACGGTGCTATTGAAATACACGGTTTATGACGTCATCCACCGGAGCAGTGCATACCATGATTTTATCATCCTTTATTTCATAGTCAGAGCGATCCACTATTTTACCTTTGTTGCTCAACGTAAAACATGGATGAAACCAAGGTGTAAGAAACAGCGATTTGTACCTCCTTGGTCGATGAAGTCATGCTCCGTGTTTTTTTACGGTCAATATTTAGGACGGAAATGGGCCCAATTCGGATTTTTTGGTACTTTCTGAATTTCATAAGTAATTTCCAAATTGAAAAAAAATATAGTTTTACAAAAATAGAGGGACCAAGGGAGGAAGGGGGGGGGGCTTCAGGGTGACAACGTTCGGATACCTTGGGATTGATTCTCTATTCGTCCCCGGAGTCCTAAACTTCGTCCGGCCCATAATCTCCGACTGATACGGGTTGTTTGGGACACCCGACACCCTGTATTTCAGAGACCCTTACACGTCCTATCTTCTATGCAGTCTTGAAGTTAGGTTAAAGTATCGCATAAAAGTAGTTTCAGTAGTTTCTATTTTTACGAAAAAAAATAAGGAAGGTTAAAAGAGGAAAGCTTACCTTGTAAACATACTTTTCTAAAGTAATTTGCATTAGGAGTAATGATCAGATTTTCTGCATCTTGAGATGATTCCGAAAAACGGAAGCATGCTCCTCTTGCGTAATCCACAATGAACCCTGTACACTCTGTGCTTCGGCGGCATCTACAAAAAATCACTTCAACTTCAAGGAATGGAATTGTACTTTCAGTCTTCAATGGTCACTTTAGAGATGTTTCATTGTACACAAAAAGGCATGGAAAGCATTTGTTCAGTCCATTCATTATAGATAGAAAATAAATATGACTTTCGACATAAAAACATAGTAAATTTTATTTCACCCCTAGAAACAGTATGAAACAAGCAGGAGGCTCCAACGCATTCGCGTCGGAGAGCGGCTCTGGCGACAGTAGTTGTAGTCAAGAATGA